ATTTGCAGTTATGACCAGGTGTTGTAGCACTGTCATAAAATGATCAGCAGCTCAGTACTAGTTGGTATAATTTGCGAATATTCCTATATAAGAAGCTAAACAATGGTTTTCGTTAAAATATATATTTTAACATCTCAGATTACTTCTGTTTTTACTAAAATGTCTTGTGTTTTCCACCGTTTTTCAAGCTGATCATAAAATATACAATGATGGTTGTCAGATGTTGACTTATCTAGTATAACACTACTTTATTAAAACATTCTTCATAGACACGGATTGTAATCATTTAAACTATTTTATTGTAAAGGTTACTTCGTAAACAGTAAGCTTTAGAAAATTGTGAACTTCAAGAGGTTGACAAATGTGTCTATATTATGCTCTGATTTTCATTGTTCTTTATGTTGATACTGTAGTAACAATGTAATATATTTACAAATTAATCGAATATCCAAAACCATTCAAGAAATATTTAAACTTTCTTTATTCTTCACTTTTTTTAATGCCAATCTAATTAAAGTAGCTCCAACAAAAAGTGTTAAAAATTAAGAAACCTCAGATATTTTCTAACTACATAGTAGCAGAACTACCCCAGATTCAAAACACTGCTTTTCAACTCAAAGTATTAAGGATAAAATGATCAACAAAGCAGTTAAGCTTCTAAAAAAGATACCTCTTTGTCACATTTAATATCAAAAAGTGTAATCACCCGGATATTTTATTAACGCTCATCGTCTTATTGATATAACGGATTTAATTAGCTTTGATATGATACATGATAAAGATCAATTAAATTCTCTTCTGTTTTCAGATGTTGGGTCTCTTCTGCAACCATCTGATGAAGATGGTTATTGATTATCGCAAAAGAAATTCAGTTGCTGCACAATTTCTATTAAGAAAACTCAAGTGAAGACAAGTAGAATAGCTACTCAAACCCTTCTACTAAATCCCTTCATCCAAATCGATCTATGGTTTATAAATCATGTTTTCCAATATCCATAGATTTCGTTCCATTTCTAAATGCTCGAAAATAAAATGATAATATATGTATGAAAAATTAGAATTTAAGGCGGGATTCCTATATATCAATTCCTACGGAAACTCATAATTCATCAACAGGTTTGCTAGAATTTCTGTAAATCATTGGATAGACGAGTGCTGGCTCAACAAAGATTACTTCATTTCATCCTGTACCAAAATTCAACTACCATTTTGCTTCCAGTTAATCAGCATTCCGAGAAATATTGGTCTGTAAATGAAAGCTTGGTTTTTTAAGTTACCTATAAAGGAGCAATCAAATAACACAAACATTGATCTTATGCAGTCGACTAGATTTTACTTTCATCCTAACTTTTGAGATTTCGTTTATGATTACCATTGTAATGCTCACTAAGAGTATGTGTACATTTATCAAATTGCTTACATACTCTTGTTATTTCTAGTAGAGGTGCATTGGCCGCTCACCAGCATTTTCCATCCAGCTCCGTCCTCGACAATCCTATCCACTTGTTTACAGTTGCTATTCATCCTTTTCATATCTTCTCATAATTCTCTGTGCACTGTGTTCTTCGGCCTTCCCAATTTTCGTTTCCCTTCACCATTCTAAGTTAGCGCTTGCTTCATGATGCAGTTTGGTGATTTCCACAATGTATGTCCTATCTACTCCCAGAGTCTTTCAATCATTTCCTCTTCAGATGGAGGCTGGTTTGTTCTCTACCACAGTAGGTTGTTGATGACAATATCCGATCAACGGATATTGAGTATCTCACGTAGACAATTGTTCATAAATACTTGTACCATTTTGGTGTTGGTTGTAATAGTTCTCGAAGTTTCAGCTCCGTACAGTAGAACTATCTTGAAGTTCGTATTGAAGATTATCACTTTGATATTGGTTAAGAGACAGCTGTTTTGAGTTTCATATGTTGTATAATTGTAGGAATGTTGTTGTTACGTTGACAATCCTCGCCTTGACGTCTACAACAAATCTTCCTTCTTCGTCGAAGATGCTGACCAGTCAGGTACATGAAAGTTTCTACCTGTTGCAGAGTTTCTCCATCAAATGTGCTTGGTTTGGTTGGTGTTCTCTGTGTTGTATTTGAGGATGTTGTTTGTTTCCCTTGTGCATGTTGAAGTCTACTGCAGAAGAGACCGCCGCTACACTTTTCATATTGATTTGCATCTGTTCGTGCGTATGGGATAGAAGGTCTGGGAGATTTGTGAAATCCAAGTCGCCTAGTTGAGCTGTTCTTTGTATTCCGTGCTTCCCATCAGATGTGGAGGTTTTCATAATCCAGTCAACCACAATAAGAATGATAAAGGTGAGAGGGAAAGAGATAGAGAGAGTAAGCAACCTTGTTTGACACCGGCTGTGGTTTGGAATGCGTCTGTCAGCCGTCCTACATGCACGACTTTGCATTGTAGTTTGTCGTATGAATTCCAGATGATGTTGACGATTTTCTCAGCTACTGGTACCATAGTGTGGAAGAAGGTTCCATAGGGTTCTCCTATCCACCCTGTCAAATATGTTCGCATAGTCAGTGAAGTTGGTGTATAGTGACGAATTCCATTCAATTGATTGTCCAACGATTATCCGTATTACCACAAATTGGTCTGTGAACAACCTATTCTTATGGAATAGAGTCTGTTGAACTCTAACTTGGATGTCTGCTGAATCTTTCATCTGTTTGAGCAACACTCTTCTGAAGACCTTTCCTTCTATCGATATTAGTGTGATTCCTTTGTATCTCTTCTAGAAAATTACTGCCGGTCTCTTGCCCGGGTAATGCAGAAGGATTGGGCATGGGTTCGACAACCCCATCCTGTAGATAAAAACACCAGCCAAATTGCTTTTACATAGTTTTATAAATATTCCAACAGTATTGTATTATATATTTTTCAGTGTCCTTATAGAATGTATTACTTTTTTTCATAAAAATAAAATAAAACAATAGAAGCTTTGATTTTTCTCATTCATTCAATCAGTATGTTTGTTGTAGAGAGAATTTTAGCTTTTTCATATTTAATCATTACCTTGGTTGATTATTCTGAGACTAACTAATTAAAATGTTTTGATAACAATTCTGTTTTTCTTTTCATCATATTTATCATCAGTATATTTGTAAATGAACACAGGGATTATTGGTTTATCTTGAAGTATTTCATTGAATGTGATTACGATTTATCACTGGACATGCTTTCAGTTAGTCGTTAAATTGTATTCTATTATCTATGGGCAGTTTCATCACTGGGCATTCCTTTCATGTGAACTTAGTTATCCTGTTGATAAACTTTCCTTTACCATTTAAGAAAGTATTAAAATACTAATTAAATGTGTTGTATATGTTGCCTTGTTAATAGAAAAATAGGCCTCAGTAATTTTTTGTTGCTGTTGCATTGATGTGTTCATATATATATATATATATATATATATATATATATATATATATATATATATATATATATATATATATATATATATATATATATATATATATATATATATATCTTCTAGGTCTAATAATGATCTAAATCCACTCTTCAATTGTTATGTTCAAAAAGATGCATATGGTCAGGACCCTACAGTAATTCTGAATGCGAGGTATTAGTGGATATTAAGTCTTTTTGCTTTATCACTCATGTAAAACGATTTTCCACCGACGTTTCTTTGTTGAAGAAAAATTTCGAGTTAATGTTCACTGTTCTTATACATCCGATGAAGTATACCCTAACTGTTGTATTCGCTATACTATTAAGTAGCATGCGAAATGATTTTGTCTTTCCTGTGTTAAAATGTACTTCACCGAGATGTATTTCGTTTAAATCCAGAACTATACTCCAGGATTAACTTTATTCGCTGCCTAGTTTAATTAATATCCCAACAACTTTTATCACCTTACAATCAACTATATTTTCGTAACATCTATTAACATATGGATGTGTTATTTTTTTTCTCAAGAACGCTATGTGGTTGAAAAATGCAACATGATTGCGTCTATTTTGTTAAACCACAAATTTCTTCCTTTCCTACTTTTCTTAGGTATTTATGGAGGTTTATTTGTGTTACATACTAGCTGAAATTGTTTCATTTTCATAATTCAACCCACAATTTTAATGTGCTTGTTCTTCTGTGGATCGATCAGTAGCTAATGGTTTCACGTATTATTTACATTAAATAATTACACAATTAAATTTAGCCTTGTGATTCAAGTCTGAGATTAGTGAATGGATTCAGTTGTGATTTTTTAAAATATTCTAGACACATCCTTTTGATAATTAATAATATTTTTTACATAATAAGCTGCAACTAAAAGCTTGTTAAACAATTTCGTAGGTTATCTGAATGAGTTCTGTGGAGATTTTTAGAAATTTCACAAGTTGAAATCATGAGACAGGTGAAGGTAGACCACCATGGAAAACCTGGAAGCACTGGACGGCCGTTTCGTTCTAGTATGGGACCCCTCGGCAGTGCGCATCCACGAACCCTCCCCCCGCGGGATTCGAACCCAGGACCTACTGGCTTCGCGCGAGAGCACTTAACCATTAGACCACTGAGCCGGCATCCAACGGTATCAATGTCTAACTTCATTGTCTTCAGTGAGTTCCTATCTCACAACAGACCTGGCTGAACTCCACTGGTAACGACTTCTCACTAGAACTCCAGGAGTGTCTCTTGAAGTCAGTCACTAGTGAGCAGGTGATTATTATTATCAGAATGGGTTTTGTGGAGATTTTTAGAAATTTCATAAGTTGAAATCATGAGTCAATTGAGGAGTCCCATACTAGGACGAAACGGCCGTCCAGTGCTTCCAGTTTTCCATAGTGGTCTGGCTTCAATTGACTCATGATTTCAACTTGTGAAATATTGTAGGTGTTTGCTGAACAACCAAGAATTTTTATACGAAGTTAGTTTATTAGTTCATCAATCATTTTTTGGTCTATAATTTGAATAAAATCTTTTCTTTTGTGTAACAACGATAGTCTATTTATTTTTTCATTTATTTTTAGCCTAGTTTAAATCCCTTGTTTCTACCTAGTCAGGGGATTTAATAGAATATCTATCAAATTATCAAAGCCACTATTTTTCATTCTGCTTTCACTAACAGAATCGATGTTTCAGTCAAGAAAGTCAATTTCTTTCCTACTATTCACTTTTTACATATCAATTTACTGTCAATCAACGATCTTTGATCCTGAAACCGGTAAACACTATCCAATATCAGATTCTTCTCGTATAGAAGACATCCCATTTTTGTTACCTAGTCCTGATCCTAAAGAGTATCCACCAGAATTTCTTAACTCTTTACTGGAGCATTGTAATGATCCCACGCCTAGTTACATCGAACTGTTCTCAAAAGCTTGGATTGCTTTTAAAGAAATGGGTTTCAGCAAATCAAAGTTTCAAAACACTTTCTTATTTGTTCGCCGCATCATCTCTGCTACGCGTCCATTACAAGTGTTTCATGCTTTATTGACAGGCCTTTTACTTACTCTGCTTCGAATGTATATCACACGAAAGCTTTATACAGTGAGTTTTTTTTGACACCTTAACACCCACTTATTGGTTCGCTATGTATTCAAATGAATGCATTGTAGTGCTTAAGAACGAAGTGAGTCCATAAGTTGTTGATTGTTTCGCGTTTCGTCAGTATGATGTGTGTAGTCATTTCCCATTCGACAAAACTGTCTAAATACACGCTTCCTCCTATTTAATATACGTAGTTTGTCTTACACTATTATAAACTAGAGTAAAGAGTCATAGTTAATTATCTCAGTTTAACGTAGGTTATAATGTAAACAAAGCTACATGAAATAATCCGGGTTGGTTTGGTACGACCTGAAAATCTTCGTATCAGTTTAATGCACACCATCTTACATCTGTCTATCCTCATGGAGTATAGGCCGCCAACCAGGATTTTCCAACTTACTCTGTCCTGAGCTCTCTTTCCATTTGTTCCAAAGTGCTATTCGTCCTTTAGATATCTGCTTCCGATTACCGATGCAGTGTGCTTTCTTGTTTGCCTCTTGTCTATTTAGGATTCCAAGTTAGGGCTTGCATTATGATGTAGCTTGGTGATTTTCATAATATGTATATACACCTCTTCCTAATTTCTTCCCCATCTGGAAGCTCGTTTGTTCTACGCTACAGTAGGTTGTTGTTAGTGCATACCGTCTAATATTATAATATTCATTGATTATAATTGTCTAATGATAGGATGAATTTGCATTTATGTTTAGGCGTAGGTGAAGTTACGTATGACTGAAAATGTCATAAAATGGTAGTGCAACTTCAAAATTTGATTTAAACCCACACCAGTAAAGTCGAATATCTATGTAGTCAGAATTCTGAATAATCATTTATGCTGTTATTACTTAAATAGGCTGTGCGTAATTACTTGTTGATTAGCCTTCACTGATATGAAGTATACCGGGGCAGTTATCATTTTCTGAAACCTGATGTGTTTTTATTAGAAGACAGAATAACACTGGCTGATACGGAGGAAATCTAATACAAAAGTAAACATTTTCAAAAGCTATTTATTAAGACGTATACGATTTTAGAGTAAGGGTTTTTATAGCATACACAACAGTAATCATTACTAACTTATATAGCTTTTGTCCAATAGACTTGGGATTTGAGTGTTCGATCTCTAAGTGAACCTTCCATGTTTAGTAATTCGTTTTTGCACCAGTTACCCTTTTCAAATTCAGCATGTGGAGTTTGTCCATAGGGATGGTTTTACTGTGTTTATATTACACTCATTTATCTTAGAGGATTTTACGACAAAGCTCCACTGGATATGAGCTAATTAACATGAGTAATTTTACTTTATTTCACAGTATATTTTGTGCACACTATCCGGTCGCTCAGATCAAAGTAATTAAGTTGGTTTAAAATGTAGAAATTATTTCCAGTATGATGAGTGTGTTTTCAGAATTTTGTAAAGAAGATATATTTCTATTTTTTAGAGGCTTATTGCCAGTGTTGGTGTAACTCCAGAAGTTTCTGGTAAACTTATTGAATCTGGTTGGAAATGTTTTTGGTTCTTATTTATGTGGCTTTTTAGCCTACAGGTTGTAGTTTTAAGTGGCAGAACAGATTTCCAATATCCCTTGTGTGTCTTTCGCAATAACATATTTACAAGTAAGTATGCTTCTCATGAAATTAATTGTTTAACTAGATCTACCGCTTCCTGCCGATTACCTTCAACTAAACCACCTAACCCTAGAGTGTTTGTATACACAAAATATCGGACAATATTATAAAACACCTGACAGTTTCTGGACTTTACTGTGTAGCTTTAACTGCGTTCTGAATATGTGTTGGACGGATTACCATTGATTCACGAAATTTAGAATATGTTGAAAGTGTAGTATTCAAACGATTTGATTACTTTAACCTCATAAGCATACATTTTCCGTTATCTTCGTATAATGCTGAGTAGAAATTTTAAGAAGGTAGTAAATAGTGCCACAATTACAATCATTCGTAAAAATGATCTGGAATGGAGAGAAATATCTTTATCATTGGGAGAGAGCACTTTTGAACTGAAATACATTTACACTTTTTCTAAGATATTATAATAAACCATTGTATATGTTTAATAAATTAAATCTATACTGATAATGTTGGCTGTGTCAAATCACCGTTAAATCCTTAGACTTAAGATATAAAATAGATCTAAATTTCTTTTCCATTGTCCAATGAACTTCTATTAACATCAATATCAAATAGAATTATTAGTGTACGTTTATTCATCATAAAATCGTCTCAATAATCCTGATTAGATCAGATCATAGTTTTAAAAGTAATTTGTCAGTTTATGTCAGATGATATACTGATATATCTTTAAAATAAAGCCTATTGAAGTGAACGAAAACTTTAGCGGGATAAACGAATTTATTGTATAAGGCAAAATTACACAGTACTTACTTACTTACTTACGCCTGTTACTCCCAATGGAGTATAGGCCGCCGACCAGCATTCTCCAACCCACTCTGTCGTGGGCCTTCTTTTCTAGTTCCATCCAATTCTTGTTCATTTTTCTCATGTCTATTTCCATTTCCCGGCGCAATGTGTTCTTTGGTCTTCCTCTCCTCCTTTGGCTTTGAGGATTCCATGTGAGGGCTTGTCTTGTGACGCAGTTGGGCGTTTTCCTCAATGTGTTTCCTATCCACTTCCAGTGCTTCTTCCTGATTTCTTCCTCCACTGGGATCTGGTTTGTTCTCTCCCACAGTACGTTGTTGCTAATGGTGTCCGGCCAACGGATTTGAAGTATTTTGCGTAGACAACTGTTAATAAACACCTGTATTTTCTGGATGATGGCTTTCGTAGTTCTCCAGGTTTCCGCCCCATACAGTAGAACTGTCTTGACATTTGTATTGAAAATTCTGACCTTGGTGTTGGTTGATAGTTGCTTTGAGTTCCAGATGTTCCTCAGTTGAAAATATGCTGCTCTTGCTTTGCCGATCCGCGCCTTCACATCTGCATCAGATCCACCATGTTCATCAATGATACTGCCAAGATATGTAAAGGTTTTTACATCTTCCAAATCTTCTCCGTTAGCGTTAAAAACGCTAAATTACACAGTGCTTTCCTAAAATATGGAAACCATACATTAAATACATTATCTGCACATTTCCCATCAATTGTCCTTTACATACCTCATTATTTTTTCAATTCTGTTATTATTCCAATTGTCCTCTGCTTTCCTTCTTGTTCTCTTCAATTCAGTCTTCTTCTGGTGGTTATTCCACCTCTCATTACTGCTACATACCGCTTAAATCTGTCAGCATAAGCAACATACACCACAATATAATTATAAAATAATATAAAGAGGTGTGTCAATTGTAATGTCCACGTACATTTTCATGCTTTTTGACAATTATATATTCATTACATAAGAATAAACCTTGACTTCTATATGTATCATATATTTCAATTATGAATAGGTATTTTTTTAGGAAATTAATGTGATGGAATTCAAAAATGACCTATGTACTGTATACATTTTACATCTCATGAGTACTGTAATATATTGGTTATGATTTTTAAGGGTGACTATTTTTTAGTGTCATGATCAGTTTTGATAGAAAAATGACAAGGATTCAACAAAAGGATTAATTGTTGTGTTAAATAGATTCATTTAAATGATCAATTCAAATGACATAGAATGAATCATTTTTTAACGTGTACAGAGATATGGAAACTAAATTATGAATTAGCGTCATAATACAATAAATATTTCGCATAAGTGGTTCAATTTTAAAGGATATTAATATATGATGAATATTTGTGTTTTATTAACTGTGGTTTATTACATTGTGTTATTGGCTACGATAGTTATTTCATGAAGTTTGACTGTCTCATAAAAAAGCATTTTAAGCTAATCAAAAAGATTGTGAATTATCAATTTTCCAAATCCCTAATCAGAATATTTGAATTCCGAGAATTTTCAGAGAAAATTTAAGATTACATATTCATAAATATATGATTGATTGTAATTGAGTTCATCAACATACATTTCTTTATGAGATGTATTGATAAAACATAAATGTCAGTTATTATTGACTAATGGTACCTAGGTAAGAGGTTGAAGTTGCTTGGTTCTGAAAGCATTCGATCTGTAACCAGTGAATGTCAGATATGAAAATCGCTCCATCTACTTTGATTTTAAAAAAGATGGGTAGTATCACTAGCCTTCATACATGATGTGGCTCAAAGTTGAGCAAATAAATTCATGTTTAGTATAGGAGTTACATTTTAAAGCTTGAAGTAGCAACACTTATTGAAAAAATGGAACTTCAAAACTAGTTTGAAATTAAATTTGAACCACTAACTTAAGTGTCATGTTCAAGAAAAGTAATCCTTTACATGATTTAATATAGAATCTCATCGATTTATAAGTACTGTTTTCCCAGTTGGCTGTATGAAATATTAGACACTGACCAGAAATATAATCACTCAATTTTAAAAAAAAGCAGCTCAATGATTTAATAACCCAATTTTTCACTGGATAGTGACAGTTCCAAACGTCTCTTCAATTATTCTGATAGTATCAAGTGTGATAGAATCAAAATTGTTCTTGATTACTAAATAAAATCAGAAATATATGCATGCACATAACTTGACTAACATCATGATTTTTTTTCTTAAATTGAATTGTTTTAATCAGTTGGCTACTTTGATATTCCGACTCCTCCTGATTACTATTGGCTTTATACACTGCAGTTGGGATTCTATTTACATTCATTATGGAGTGTATTTTTTATGGATTTGTGGCGTAAAGATTCTTCTGTATTAGTTCTACATCATTGTTTGACACTTTTACTGCTAGAAGGTTCATTATTGCTAAGGTAAGATAAATAAATTATTCTCCACAAAGTGGTTATTACATTGCTTCGATTTATTCCTGATAACTCATGAAAATAAATGAGATTAAAATCATCTTAAAATTCGTTCCATATTATCTTATTCTCAATCATTTTTGTGATTTCATATACCATATGAATTTAAAAGCCTTTTAAGTGCCGATTACCACTTTGATTTTTATTGAATCTCAATGGTTAAGATCATGAGTCAGTTGAAGCTAGACCACAATGGAAAACCTAGAAGCACTGGATGGCCGTTTAGTCCTATCGTGGGACACCTCAGCAGTGCTCGTCCACTACCTCACCCCCTGCGAGATTCGAACCCAGGACCTACTGGTTTTATTTAATCGTTAACAATTTGTGAAAATTAACGGAAACTATTCAAAACAGTTTTTCTATAAGCATTAATTTGTACCTTACTTATATTAATGGTGTTACATATGAAATGCAATCTGTCAACATCTTTTTATACTCTGTATATAGCATACAAAGAGTGCATGTAGGTATAAAGAAACGATTATTTAATATGCTAAAACATTTTGGAGAATTAAATAAGAATCAAGTGAATCATCGGGAGAAGATGAAAAATCAAAATTAAAGTGAAAATAATTTTTCGAAGAACATTAAAAATTGAGAGTAGAAATAGATAGTGGTAGGAGGATCACTTCCCAATTTTAAAATTAAGGATGATTTCGTCAGTACCCAACTCAATTTTTCTAATGGTTTCCGTTCATACTTTCTCTTCATAAATTGAAGGGTATATAAAGTTTGTGAAGTAACTAATGTACAACTTAAAATCAATAAACTCGCTATGAAGAATTGAATAATATGCATTCTCACACTGATTCCAATTCTACTGAAGTAAATTTAATCAAACCCATTTACAAAACACGTTTTCCGTACATGACTTTAAACTGCGAATTTTCTATGTGAGGGATAGGGTTGGTACTCAACTATCTGAACTGTGTTTCAGTGTTCAAATTTGTAACTTAGCTATTAAAAGTCGAATATTGTAACTCATAAGCCACCAATCAACCAAGTTCGATTGAAATAATAAATAACACTTATTGGCAATAATCTTACCTTTTATGAAAAGCCAAATGTTCAAATGCAGTCACAGGAAAGTACAAGTTTAAAATTTAAGTTAACTAAACTATTTGTGTAAGCTATATGAAATGTTTTGGAATTCCATCTGATGATTAGATATTTATCAATATCTGTTGGTGTAACGATGTATTAATTTTAGTGAGTATAAACTTTATAAATGACGAGAGGGGTTGCTTGATTTAACAATCACAGTAACCGACCGAACGGTAGACTCAGGGCGCACAAATCTCCATCAACTACTGTTTTAAATGAATCTATTTGGGTGCATATTTATTCGAGTGGTTATTGGTGAATTAATCTTAGACTTCAGTACATGATGAATATTTTCAACTATGAAAAAGGTCAAGAAAATACTTATAATGTTGTACAATCCCATAGAAATCCAACACCAGGAGAAAGCTTCATTTTTTAGTACTCATTCGATTGCTATATAATAATTTGTAACAGTGCTTATTTCAGTAAAGCTGTCAGTATTCTAAAAAGCATTGGCATTCCATTTTGTAGTGTATGTGCATGGCCATGATACATTTTTTTAAGTTAGGATCTAACCATTAATCAAATGTCGAGATTTTGCGGTAACATCTATGGAAAGCGTAAATAGAATGGTCATTACATAATCTTACAGTTGACTTTAGATACATTCAGCATTCATTCAAACGTCATTAACAAAAATGCATCGTTACAATATTCAATGAAAATGTTTGCTTATTTTTTATTAACAAAACGGTTGGCTAAAAATTCATATTGACTGATGCTTAGTCAGCAGTAGTAGAAAAACTTGACTTTCAATCATTAAGTCATAGATTTAAATTTTTTACTTCATATTATTCAATTATGTTGGCTAGGAAATATCACTAGTCTTAACAAAATAGGGTTTATTTCAAAGTTAAATATGTAAACTTGGACTTGATAATTGAGTTTTATCAAAGCAGTTGTATCTTCTGTCTTTATTATTGGAACATGATGTCTCGACCCAAGGTTTTTCCAACTTTATTCATCGTCTTGTTGTATGTGAAATTACATGTGAATTGTGAGTTATTTTAGTCAGTGAGTAATGTAAGTTATCACACGTTGAATAACGATTACTATTATTTCTACCTTAAGTTCAAAGGTGATAATGTACTGTATTAGCTTGAGCGTAGAATTTAAAACGTCAGTGATCTATTCACCTTAAAAGTGTTTGTATTTATACCGAAAGAAATTGTAGAGACCTGTAGGCTCTTAGTTTGATCCCTTATGGGGTTGTGAATAAACACTGTTAAGGGGTTTCATACTAGGACTTAATAACTATCCAGTGTTTTCTGTTTTTTGACTGTTGTCTTACTAAACCCAGTCCTTGATATCTAGTATGAAATCTAAAAGTCTCCACAAACCTCGTATAGTAATTTCGTTCTTACTATCACTTTTTTTTTCAATTCAGTCTTCTAGTCAAAAGTTCTCAATACACTTTACTCATTATTTGTCTAAAGTTTATTTCTCTCTTCATTTGTGTGTTTTCAAATATATTTTTAGGATACATCGTGCGGGTGTTGTAACTTTACTTCTACATGATTTATGCGATGTATTTTTAGAATTCGGTAAAATAAATGCCTACTTGCGTAATCGACGCGGAAAAGTGCATACTATTCACGTAACTATTGCTAATATATGTTTTGCACTATTTGCAACATCATGGTAAGTAAATTGGGAAATAAAATGATTCATTGGTAAATTATTATTTTATTAATAATTTTCAAAAGACTAATATTTGAACGAAGTATATTCTTTTCGATAAATTCTCTTCAGGTTCTACAATTCATATATACAAACTAATAATCCGAAAAATGGCCAGGTTAGGGGTAATGTACATCGTTTAAAGTATGTGAAGTTTGGGATTGTGTTAAACAAAATACAATAAAATTGTTAATGTTGATATGACTTATATAGAATGTTAACTTGAATCTGTGTATACGTTAAGTGAAATTTTAAGATCCCTGACCAGAATAAATATGGGCCGAATAGGGTGAGAGAGAAATAATAGTGCAATTACAATTCGATCAAATTAGTTAGACGTAATAAGAAGGGATGAATGCGAAATGCGTGAATCATGTATAGGGGAGATTAATAACTATGTCAAACCAATAATACGACTAATAATAATAATAATAATAATAATAATAATAATAATAATAATAATAATAATAATAATAATAATACAAAGATTTATGAATAAAGATAACAGCGACAATTACGATTGACTACGAAAGGTCTTAGTCAAATTTGGTCATTCAATAGTTAAGATTACGACTGATTAATTGGCCTTGATGTTGGGCAGGTGAGGAGAAGTGTTTCAATATATTTCTTCTGTACGCATAGCTCCGGTTTCAGACTTAAAGTCCTTCAAACGGCTGAAGCAGTAGCCATCCGGATTGCTATTATTACGTCCTTATTACGTCTAACTAATTTGATCGAATTGTAATTGCACTATTATTTCTCTCTCACCCAATTTGACCCATATTTATTCTGATCATGGATCTTAAAATTTCACTTAACGTATACACAGATTCAAGTTAACATTCTATATGAGTCATATCAACATTAACAATTTTATTGTATTTTGTTTAACACAATCCTGAATTCACATGCTTTAAACGATGTACTTTGCCCTTAACCTGGCCATTTTTCGGATTATTAATTTGCATATATAATTGCAGAACCTGAAGAGAATTTATCGAAAAGAAAATTCTTTGTTCAAATACTAGCCATTTAACATGACGGGGATCATTAAACGATTAATAATTTTCAGTTAGTTAAGTACACGCAAGGCCGAACAATTATTCGGACGTAGATGCATATTTTTTTTTTGCCCTTAGTAGTAGGTTAGTGTTATTTCTATCTTCGTACATAACTTGTAGCAGGTCTGTAATTATCATCAAATATTTCCTGTATATGAACTCATAATACACTTTTTTCCATGAAAACAGTTTACTAATACCTTTAATCATCACAAATAGTGGTTTTAAGATAAATTATAGTAAGTAAATTTTAGTATATTCACCAGTAAATAGTAAAGGCAATGAAAAGGAAAAAAAATCCATTATGGATCTTTATTGCGTATAATATTCTGCTGTACCATTTAAATCGACTCAAAACAACAGCTCACACTCAGATAATTCCCCCAACTCAGAAAGTCTATTGAAATTAGGACAAATAATGATACACTGTGAAACGTGTGGGTAATCATAAAAATTTTTAAGTTCTCATTATGGTTCAGTAAATAAAGATGCAAATTTTGCAACATCAGATTTAACCGCACACTTGCGGTTTAAAAATTTCAAATAGATGATTTAGAGTATCCTTTTTCATTTTTGGGAAAGATTACATTACCCAATATTGGAAGGGTTCCTTAGTTACGAAATGAGTTTTTATATTTGCAAAAGGTATATTTTACTGATGGTATTTGATAAAATTTTAACTCTGGAAATTTACCATTCAGATTTATTTGCTCTCATACACGGTTACAGAAATTCAGCAAGATCGTGCAAACTTAGAGTTCACGTTCTTCCATGTTAAGGAATCAAAATTTATTTGTCATCTTCAGGATATTGATAAATAGTTACAAACATTCTATTTCCATGCTATTTAAGCTTTAATTGACTTCTTTTAAAACTTAATTATTTTATTCAGTCACTATGTGATTATCAGCGGAATGTATTGTAGACTTGTCTAGTACTAATTCTAATCAATTAATCTACGCCATCTGTAATCACTAGGTCTCTATACATATTTAGATAGCGATTTGGGCTACATATTTCCTAACTATTCATGTGTTGAAATAATTTCCCTACTTTCAATTTGTCTTAACTTACTGATACATTCATACACTGTTTCAGTAATTTATAACTTCAATACCATGGGCGAAACTATTCTGTTCTCTTCTTCTTCCATCCCGGATAACTGGAGTAATAACACCATTTTTGCAAATGAAGTTATTTGGTATGAACTCGGTAAAATCAGTCAAAATACGTTTAGTTTGTTGATTAAATATCAATAAAAAAATGATTAGAACTGAATGATTGTCATTGACACAAAATATCATCAAAAATGGATTGAATCTCTATAACTACTGTTGATACTGAATAATGTACTGTTATAAAGTTTCAACCGAATTGATAATAAATTAATTATCAGAAGGGGTTTTGTGGAAATTTTAGAAATTTCACTGATTGGAATCATGAGTCACTTGAAGCTAGACCACCATGGAAAGCCTGGAGGGACTAAATTAATTCATATAAATTATATTTTAAGATTACTTATCCCAAGCACTTACTGGTTATGTATTTTAATTATATCATTTACTAAAATACCTTTACAAAAAGCTTACAATATCAACTGTTTAAATATACATTTTCCCCCTCCATATCTTAAGTCAAGTACTTATTTTATTACCACGCTGTCCATTCTTGTTTAACGTTATCGTAGACGTGCTTTTAGAGATAACACTTTCCTCATCTGGATTTTCAGGGGTTGATCTTCTACCAGGAGATTCACTTGTTGACTTAGAATATGCTGATGACATAGTTTTATTTGGCGAAGACGCTGACAAAATGCAGAGTCTTATGACCACTCTAAGCAACAATGCTGGCATGTTCAAGATGCGATTCTCCCCCTCGAAATGCAAAATGTTGCTTCAGGATTGGGTTGCATTGACACCCGGACTAATGATAGGGAGTGAAGTAATTGAGCATGTCGACTGCTTCACTTATCTTGGGAGTCTCATCAGCCCTTATGGTTTGGTGTGTAACGAAATCTCAGCACGGATACAGAAGGCTCGACTAGCTTTTACCGACTTCCGTCATTTGTGGCGTAGGTGAGATATCCATCTACCAACCAAAGGATAAGTTTACTGTTCAGCAATTCGTTCCGTCCTACTTTATGGCAGTGAAACATGGCTGGTAAGAGTAGAGGATATTTGCAGGTTACTAGCATTCGATCATAGGTGTCTTCGAAGCATTGCTCGTATATCCTGTAACCAACGAGTAAGTAATGTAGTTGTTAAGATACGAGTGTAAAATGTGATCGATAGACGAACTCACCAATGATAAAGTGAAACGCCCACCATCACATTAACTTTCTTTGACCTTGTATGACTGTCTTGTTTATTCACCAGTCACAAATTTATGTTCACTATAAAACAATATTTGCCTTGTTGACTCATTTTTTCTATCCTCTAGCTACTATTCGGAACAGAGAAAGTTTATCAAGCCAAATAGCTTACTTGTTCTGGCTTTGGCTTAACCAAGACTGTGTTTGACGGTCTAGAGAATAGCTTAGAGTTACGCCTGTAGGAAGTTGCTTCCTACAACGGGTACTAGAAAAGAATGGTAAATCAATTGATGAAGCAGTGAAACTTCATCACTTGAGATGGCTGGAACATGTGTTACGTATGGACAGCAACCGACTGCCTCGACATGCGATGTTTCATGGTGTAGGAGTAGATTGGAAGAAAGCTAGAGGCAACCAGACCAAAACATGGCACAAATCCATACGTAGGTACGAAGTTCTACGTTGTTACTGACTGACTTATTTTATTAAATCTGATTTCCATATTCAGTTTGGACTGAACTAAAGGGATAGGATTTGAGATCATTACTTCATTAAGTAAAGCATAAAAGGAAAGAGAATTCAGTGATGAAAATTATCTTTTCGACAAAATTATTTACTTAAGCTGTACATTTGTTTTATGATTGTACGGTAAATATATGTCTATTGAAGGATAGAAAAGATTGCATCGTAAAGTGTTTTTCGTTTTTCTTCATATTTGTCAACTGAACAATTATCTTTCATAATTATTTCCAGCCTTATATTCTTGTCTTACACCTTGATTATTGCGTAACCTGATTTGATAATAACAGTCTCGAATCAATTTATGATGCAATCTTTCCTATCCTTCTATAGGGATATTTATCATACAACTGTAAATACGAATGTACAGCTTAAGTAAATGATTTTGTCGAAAAGGAAATTTTCTTCGTTGAACTCTATTCTCATTCACTAATACAATGGGTTATTTTGATTAAAATAGTTGGAGTCATTAGTCAATTGAAGCTAGAGCACCATGGAAAACCTGGAAACACTGGGCGGCCGTTTCGTCCTAGTATGGGTTGGTTGAAGTTAGACATTAACACTGTTGGATGCCGGCCAGCTCAGTGGTCTAGTGGTTAAGCGCTCGCGCGCCAGACTGGTAGATCCTGGGTTCGAATCCCGCGAGCGGGATCGTGGATGCGCACTACTGAGGAGTCCCAAAATAGGACGAAATGACCGTCCAGTGCTTCCAGGTTTTCCATTGTGGTCTAGCTTCAATTGACTCATGATCTCAACTATTGAAATTACTACAATCTCCACAAACCCCCTTCTGATATTTTAATTAAGTAAAGTATGCTAAATAATTTCACTCTAATTATATTATTTTTCGTAAATCTTAGCTGTTTTGCAACTTATGAGAAGTCTTAAAATATGGTGAATTTATTCAATTCTTCTAATTTGGTTACTTTTGCTCTCTATACATCAACTTTTATTGTTACCGTTATTAGTGAATTCATATGAAGTTATGTAAATACATTTTGCAAATGGGTTTCCTTAAATTCCTCTGTTTTTTTCTTCACAGGGTTGTTTTACGACTATATTTATTCCCATTGAAAGTTTTATACGCTTCCTCTTGGGGAGCTTATATTTGTTTGGTCGGTCGAGAAAACAGAGGATTTCTGTTTTTCAATTTACTGCTATGGTGTTTATTTGTAATGCATATATATTGGTTTACGGTATGTTGATGCTGTTTTCTTTCCTTATGATCTCTTACACTTATTAAATGATTACATATCTGCTTCCTAGTACATAGTGAAATGTTCTTAGAGATACTCACTTTTATCAGATACTCTGTATTACATACCTATAGTTTTTTTTAAAATTTAAATTTCTTATGCAGTCATACAGTTAGTATTTCGTAGTATGAAATTATCTATACTAAGTTCGGTAGTGATTCATATTAAATGCTATATTTTTACTATCACCATTGTTTCTAGTTTAGTAGTCTATTTATAGATGCTTTTTAGTCCCAGTCATTTGTTTTAAAATCAGTAAAAGGGTTAACGTATTCACTGAGGAGTCCTATATTAGGACGAAAAGGCCGTCCAGTGCTCTCAGGTTTCCCAAGATGGTCTAGCCTTAATCGACTCATGAATTCAACCATTAAGTTACTAAAATCTCCGCAAAACCCCTTTCTGATAAATTTATGTTTCTTGAATCGTATTATCTACATCCGATGTTTCCTGTCACGAATATTGTTACTACGTCTACTACTTTGGCATTGCTTCCAACTAATCGACTGATGGACTGACTTGAGGAAATCTGAAACTGGCAGAAAGTGGTAATTGAAAAGGTGAAACGACATAGTTGGATTTATTAGTTTCATTGCAAATGTCCAATGAATGTTTTCTATTTGATTTGTTCAATTGTAATGTTTCTATCTACTTTACAAATAATACACAATGGCTTGTACTGTCGGATTGTACGGTGCCTATATTTTTAATCAACTTAATGCTCCTATTTATTCGACTACTTCATTTGTATGCAGAGATCTTTGTGGCCCGTTAATTTGACTACAATTTGATTGAATGATGGTGTTAACGAGATATACATGTTGTCAACCCTCATATATAATTATCAACTTAATTCGCATCAGAGAATAACGGAACAAAATAAGTCAAATACGAGAATGAATTTTGGAGGCGTAGGTTTCATACACTCGTTAATCCAGACAGGTAATTAAAGAAACAAAGCGGAGAAGTTGACCATATAAGGCAAACATGTCAACCTCATCTGATTAAGTGTGACTCAATGTTAATAAAGCTGATGACATGTGATGAGTAGGATAAGCGATATACACACATACGATCAAGGTTTATCAGCGAATAATTGACAATGTCAAAATATTACTCAGGAATATATAAATCCATCTGTCCAGATGCTAGAATAATCATATGAGGTTAACATAATACTAGACACCACAAGATGACTGGTGTAGTCTTAATTTATCAATATTATCAACATTGACTTGTCTATATTATCACTTTTTCCTCCCTTGTATTTTCATTAGTTCATTATACGTATGGCTATTCGAATATTTACAAGTCCATCAGAAGCATGTGATGATATACGTGAAGATACACCGAATAAAAACATTGACAATATGAAGCTTTGTAATCATAAGACTACATCAGAAACAATTTTAAACAATAATCATAATCATATTACTACTACTTATACTGCCACTGATATCACTGATACATCTTTCATTGTAAAGCAGATTAAACGAATAGAAAATAATAGTAATAATAATAATAATCATAAAGATAAATCTTTAACAAATGGAAGTACATGCATATCAACCAAGTGCAATTAACTAGAATTTATTTGTTATAGACAAAGATCAATTGTTATTTACATATAACATAACTTATGAACAAACTATATTAGATAAGTTTGTGTTTCATATTCATTCCATTTAATTCTATTCATTAATGTTTTGTCAATGGTTATTTTCTATACTCCTCTCTTATTTTATATTCTATTCACATATCTATTAATTTGTAAGAGATTCAAATGTTCTTTTCTGTATGTTTTAATTGTTGTTTGTTTACTTTTCATTTTCACTACACATTGATTTTTTTTCACAATGAGATTGACACACACACACACACTTACATACACATTGCAGTTAACTATGGATCTTTTATAATTTCAACTTTTTCAATATGGTGGCGTTTTTCCTTCAAGAATTCTTGTTCAATGTCTTAATAGAGATATATACAAGTCACTATTATTTTGTATTTTGTTTGTATTCTCAGAAAAACGAATAAATTTGTAACCAGATGTATTAAGTGAACTTGAATTTTGTATTTTGTCTTTCTGTGATCTTTATGTGTAGTCATTTCTGTATGATATGCGTCTAGACACGCCCTCTCAAATGAAAGTAAAATAATACTTTATATTGTTGTTATTATGTAATGAGAGTGGTATAAAAAAATCCCATGGAAAGTGGAAGGACACAATTTGTACTTGACTTTCTCATATATTGCCATATATAGATCCAATTGTAATGTTAGTAAATATCTCCCTACCTCTTTTTCTTTCACTCTCTGTATATTGTATGATGTAATGAAATCATCAGTCTTCTTTCTTTTTTTATGTATCATTTTGAACTTCTACTGTTTTCATTATTTCGACTTTCATTATAGTTTTTGGAGTGGTTTTTGTCTTTTGTTGTTGTTTACACTTTTGTTTTAATAAAACAAAGAAAAGAGTAATGATAATGAGGGGAATGAAACTCAAGAAAAATAGTGATGGTTTATTTCGTTTGATCTGTAGCCCAATGGTTAAAGCATTCCACTACCTGTCATTAAGTTCGAGGTTTCGAACCTCGTTCCATCTAATTCGGTTTGGGCAATCGAGTAGGATCATTAGCCCCATATATTTGAACAATGCCTTATACTGAAGTATCTGGTGTATGGGTTAGCTAAAATTGAAAATTTTATGTATTTCATCCCTTCACAACAGACTCTGTGTGTATCAGTGTATTTGTAACGCGAGTTTTTCAAACCATTAATTAACCGTGAGGGTACTCAGTCTTCGGTTACTATTATAAGACTGTAGGAATTGTGTAGACTTTAATAGTATGTTTGAGTGGTACTTAGCCTCAAAAGCTGAATTGTCGATACAAAGAATCAAGAGGACGGATATTGAAAATGAAACAACTTACTACGGAAGGTAGTGATCTTATGTAATAAAGCGACAAGGTTACGTAAAGAATGTTTGCACAAAACTATGGCAGTATTATCTGAAATGCAATTGATTAAAGGATATGCTGTTACTAGAGCACTCATCAGCCTGTGAAATGATGACCTGACTAATTGGCCAAATTTATTGAGTGCTATGCTATGGTTCATAAGCAGTTTTGGCGCTGATTAGTAGATGTAACATAATAATTAGGACCTATAGCGCAACACTGGATCTTTAGCATAATGATTACTAAATTATACCGAGTGAATTTGAACAACGCGAATTCCACGACGCTTGTGTTAAATAAAGAGGATTCAGTGTGTCTCAGTAGTTTTTCATCAGCTGTTATTAGTCTCAATAAATTATGCCAGGAGACTTTCGGTCACATGTCATAAAAAATCATTCATTCTGAGCTCTAATTAGCCAATTTCACAGAAGCACTTTAACCAATAAATGTCCACAGAGATATATGCATGAAAATACCGTATCTTTTAGATATGATGGTAAGATATATTTGAGTATAAACGATAATATGATTTTGATATGATATTTACAATATGGGATAAAGTTTGACAGCATGACATGTTCAAGGTCAAATCACTTGTCATGAGACTGACATTAGTTGATTATACACCACCAAGGTATAATGGGCTTGTGTTATTTTTTTCGAACTGCATCGTCTAGTTGAATCTATAGAATTGAGTGCAATAACTATATTTGATGGCTAACATCAGTCTTGTTAAGAATATTGGATGTGGAAAAGAAATAAGCGATATATTTTCTACAGTATCTGTATCCCGTTTCTTCTGCATTGACATGCAGTGATGAAACTTGGATAGATGAAAACGAAACTGCTTGGATTAAGGGATACTATATCATATGGTTATTTCAATCTAGATTATTAACAAACAGTTTAGGCTTTATTGAAAACGGAGTAACTGCCTTTTGAATAACCATAGTATGAAGGTCCACCACCGAATATTACATCGTGTTGACTGATTTACGTATGGGTGGACACTTACACGGGAATGAGTCATCATGACTTGCAAGTAAGAGTGGGTAAACATTTATCAAACTATTCTCAAAGATCGGAAAAGTAATTTAAACATTCCCAAAGAATATTCAAACACATGGAATATTAGTACGGACGATCATTTCCGATAGCTTCTTCATCATGATCGACAGTTATTAATCCAAGATTATTATGGTGTTACGTCAAACAAAACACTGAAGATGAATGAATCCATAGTATAAACTGAAATGGCAAATTTCCTGTCCATCGAATCTTAAATACCACAGTTTACTAGTGAATCAAAATAATTAGGTTGATGGGTTTTAATCAATCAGATAAAATCGCATGTAAAAATTATTTCATAGTTGTTGTGACAGTAATAACAACAAGATTAGGAAAGATGAATGTACAACTAAGGATAAGAGGAAATGTCTTGTAAGACAGTGCGAACCATACAGATTGGGGAAGGAACAAAATTGGAGGTATGAATAAAACGACCTTAATGTGTTGCAAGGTAATCAAAGAAGTTGTATATGTCTATTTCGTATACGTAAGTTATATTTCTTTGAGTTGATACCAGTTACTTCAGCTATATGCAGTCAGTGTAGTATTGCGTCTGTTGGTAGACCATTTAGAGCTTAACGGATAACTGAGGAAGGATCTTCAATTTTAATCTTGAGTCCTAACCAAGCCGGTAAGTAAAAGGATGATAATCTCGGCTTTATGACTAAAAGTCCCCATAAAAAGATTATCGAAGACGATTGTTCGCACTAATACTCTGTTCTTGATTTATTCAGTACAATAACCAGTCAAACAGTATGGTTGACACTCATCTTTATCTACTGCCAAACATAAAATTGAAGTGGTTCACGGAGCTGATCTTAATTCGTCTTTTGTGTTGTATAACAGTGATCTAAGAAGAATTCTAAGTACTTTCGGCCATACGTTTAGCTTAACCTGTCTTATATGTTCAATAATAGTTTGAACTTATATCAAATCTTAACTGAATAATATTGATTTTATTTTAACAAACATGATGGTGTACTTCTCATAGTTTTTCCTTATCATCTTTACTTCTTCTCATCTTCCAAATTGTTTAACCTAACCTTTATTTTTCAGATATATTTTAACAAGTAAATGTGTTATTAGATTGTTTGAAATGTAACGCATTAACATATATGACAGGGTTTTAATTACTTTCGTCTTTTTATTGAATTATCGTAGTTTTTTTCAATATTTGTTCATTGATCGAGTTTTATGATTGATTGATTGATTAAACAGTCTTTAAGTACCTTGAACTCATTTCATTTTGTTAAATCAATAATTTGTACTCTATTATACATATGAAGTAATTAGAACTTTGTCAATCAATTAATTGTTCCATATTTTGATATTCATTGTTGTTGTGCCTTTTTTCAAACTGCTTCTTTGATTCTCTCTCTCAACTGATTATGTCATGAAATTTTGTAGTTTCATCATATTCAAAGGTCATATTGATTGGTACTTGAAACTTGAAACCAATCTCAGTATTACATTCTAGACCTAGCTGTTTGAACTTTACTTTGTAAAACAAATTAACAACCTTGAAGTATTCTGTTGATTCACACGATTAGATAAAAGTCATTGCGATGAGTTAACCACTTGATAATGTCTATCATACACTTTCAGCCATTTTAACTGAAAAAGTTATTTGGTACAAAATACAGACTTGATTGCTTACTTAAAAAGTGATATTAACTAGTTAATTATACTGCCTTGTTAAAATGGTCAATTTTCCTCAGATTACTTTTTACCTTCTTTGTCATAAAAGGAAGACAATCATTAGTATTTGAGATTTAGTTCTTCCAGAGTTTCATTATTTAACGATAATAGCCTTATCGAAATAATCGTAAACTAGAAGTTATGAAAACCACACCTTATATATGGTTACTTAATGCTATTCTGTATGAAGTAATTCTAGTTGACATATGTAAATTGAGGTTTTTGCAAATTCATGGACACTACTATTTTGATAAGATTATTCGCATTAAATGGCGTAAAGTGAGTCAATACAGTTTTGTTTTTTCATTCATTGGCAAACCCGAATTTCTAATACTATCGAATATCATTTAACTATTGTCCAAATATTTTCAAACCGTTAGATCTGAACTCAGTTTGAATTTATATACGTTAATAAAAAAAGAGAACATTCTTCTGATTACGTTGCATTCTCTGAGCTGGGTACTTTTACCGAGGTCCTCTCATTGTTGCGGATGATGCAAGCGCCAATGTTGTTGTCGAGACTGACAATGAAAGCTTTACAGTCAAAGTGTCCACCTTACAAAACTGAACAGAATCGAAAAGGATTTATTTATTCTATAAATCTTTTTTACCATTTTAAAACACTGTGAACAATGTTTGTCAGTCATCTTCTATTAGTTCAGGAAAAGTAACAATATTTAATGTTATGAACGTGTAAGATACATATCTCAGTTTTTCGTTATGATTCATTACATTGACTTTTCAGCAACATTAAAAATTTCTGATAGCTACATGTTTTTCTTCAGATTCTAATGCTCACTAATTCAAACACTAAAAATTCATTTCATTAGACTGTCAAAGATAATAGATTTAATGCAGTATAATAAGCGTGAAAAACTTCAAGAAACAATCATAAACTGATAATCTTTTATTATTCAGATTAGTGCTGAACAAACTTCTATATTCACGAGCTGTGCGAACTCAAATAGTATGTCGATTCGAGATCATATATAGTATGCTAAAATGTTTTGAATCAAGATACTTCAATGTATTTTTTACTAAATGGAACCGTTACTTACACAATCAATACCGTTAGGAATATCATATTATTAAAGAAATACAGATAAAACTAACTAGTTGTTTACAAGTACGACTCGATCAAGAATCATTTTACTTGTCATTATGCATGACTGTAACTTAACACTTTCTTCTGCTATTTGAAATCTGAATTTCAGATTACTGAATTATATTTTTAAAAACTTCATTCATTGTTGTAAGTTAACATAAATAGAAAACATTTTACTTGGGAATTATTCGTTGATATTAACGAGTAACGGATGACTAGAAAGTTTATTTTGATTACCGTCAGCTTGCAAAGGCCAATGTTTATACCCAGAAAAACAACCTAATTCATTTAATTCTGTACATTTCAATATACGACACAATTTTATTTCATCCCTGTTAATTATTAATTAAATGATCGGGAAGGTTTTAGGAAAATTAAAGAAAAAGAAGACAAAGAAGAAAACAAATTGTAATGAACGAAAACTCGATTGAGGAAGGCCAGATTATTACCTAATACGAAATTATAAAGTGCTTTAGTAAAATATAAAACCCATACATCAGAAACATAATTTACACATTTCCCATCAGTTGTCCTTCACATATTTCATAATTCTTTCAATTCCGTTGTTATTATAATTACTTTCAGTTTCTTTT